CTACACTGAAAGGAAATGGTGGTTTCCATTGACCTACTTCTTCTAATATAGACAATTTCCGCTTATGATCACGCAATATCTATTTGTACAAGCTTACATTGTGCTGTGAGGCATTCACGACTGTGAACACCGGTATTACAAGAACTCCAACAGCTCTCTCTTTTTTTTTAATTTCACTCAGCAGCTTAAGCTATATGGAAGTCTTAAATGAATTGGCCGGTAAAATTCCGATTTATTAAAAGACAGGATTTGCAATAATTGTTGCATATACATTTAACTGTAATTTCGTAATTCGCTTTTTTAGTCGCTTACTTCAATTCGCAGCCGTAGTTTCGACAGCCACATCCTCTATTCGTCGTTCAGCGTCCGTTTTTTCACTCGCCTACACCGACTGAGAGTCTGGAACTGGTTAGGCATCAGGCCGCCCGCAACCTGTTTCTTAATGAAGCATCAACCTGAATGGCCTATGGCAACAGATATTCAATGGGCTAGATACTTCGGGGAGTGGGGGTTGGTACTCCTTTAACCAATAGGTGTTATCTATTGCCTTGTAAACAGTGTTTTTCTTTTCAACCGGGTTTGAAGGATCAGCGGTGTTCACGTGTCTGTCTAAATATGTGTGAAGTGGCCTTCTGGGGTCGCTGTGCCTCAATTTACAATAATGTAATTTTAACCGGACCAAGGTTTACCACAGTTAAAGAGCCTTGGTCGCACGCTATCCTACAAATTCATTCAGTTGTCCCCTCACTCTACTCCAAGCTAACTACAGGCTAAATAATCAGTTGAAGCTATTTGTTACTGATAGAATGGTCTACGAAAAAGACATACTGCAAACAACAAACCCAAAAATTAAGAGCTGTTGAAAAGTTTGGGTGTGTAATAATAAAAATGATTTTCTTCATCATAAATAGCTTCAGATAATACTGCAGGCTAGCGGGAAGGAAAAACGCTTTAACGGTCATACTCCAGCGTGTTTTTTCATTTAACTTTTTGGTCGCTGCGAGAAAGTCCTGAAGTGATAAGCGAATACACTTTTGCGAGAGCAAAATAATTCCCACGAGTTATTTTCAAGAATTTACGAGAAGAGAGAAGCATATACCGCAGTAAAGTCTGAAAACCTTTCGAACGTTTAAGAATTTTGTTTATCAAGGTTGTTTAGCCTGGCGGTACTTTTGACTTTTATTTGTTTGGGATAGGTGTGGCAAGGGCGCAGTTTCCTGTACAGTTACCAGGCAAAGAGCAGCTCACTTGTACAGATCAATATTGTTAACAGAAGATGTGATTTAAGTAATATACGTTGAAAATTAAAATTAAATCCAGCCTGATAAGTTGGCTGGAAAAAAATATTTGCAAAAGAAAACAAATGGAATACCGACCACAGCTACCAGCTGTCTATATTCGTGTTGACAAGCGTGTGACAGTTTAAACCCCTTTGACTTCCAAAGTCGTATCACGTTTCCATCCGTTGTTACGGGTCGTTTGAGGCCAGTGAGTCGATCGTAAGTTCTTCTGATGTTATTTACACAGTAACGAATGAAAAGAACGCTATGGATATGGCAGCGACCACAACAGTTGAGGCCATCTATGTACCAGACAACCTTGATGGGAAGAAATACATGAAAAACCAACAATGGCGGCTTCGAATTTGGATTTGCGCTGGAATATCTAGTTTGGTCGTGTTATCAGCAGCATTGGCATTTATTATTCTTATTTTGAACTTCTCAGCTTTTCTGTCGCAAACCTATGATCTCACTCAAGGCGATATGAGGCTGATATCGGTATCTACGGCTTTCTGTGAAGACATATCGCTTGGACAAGATTCGTCGAAACGGAAATTGTGGATTCTGCCGTCTTCACGCGTAAGTCCCCAACTGCGAAGAACAAATATTTCCACAGATGTATTAGTGTCAAAATTTAATTATTGGTACAAGAGTTTCTATTTACTAGAAGGATCTTCCGTCGTTATAAATGCCGAGTCTAATAGACTGTTGAAGCTTTTTATTTTCAAGGACAGAAAAAGACTTGATGAATGGATCCTTCAAAATGGGGATTCTTCGGAGGAAAGCGGCCTCTCTGAGGAGGAATCCTTCTCGCAGCCTTCCAGAATATCTTACACTCTTTCCGCAAAAGAAACAGGCTACTTCTTTATTCTTTTTAAATACTCCAAAAAAGAGAATGAAGTTTCAAAAATGAACCTTGGTATGATTATAAGCCGCAAAGTGTACGATGTGGATTCTTCAGTTTTCAGTTGTAGCGCGGGTGCGGACGAAGCATGTTCGGCGAGATTACTGTTTGGGTCATCCGAGGTCGGCGTGCTTGAAGTAACACAGAACCTTGATTATCACAGTAGTGACCTTGTAACAACTTGGCGTTGTGAGCCCCGTATTTGGTTTTACTTGGCGGTCTTTGGTGGACCTGTTTTGCTTTTCACTGTTGGAAGCTTTTTGTTTTATTTTGTATTTATCAACCGAAAGAGAGACAGCATTATTCAGAGACTTGCGTTTCACAGACAGAACGCACTTAGGCGAGCAAGTGGTAGTGGTTGTGACCGATGTAACACCCTTGGCAATAAGAGCTTAAACGGTTCGCTGAGGCCAACAAGTCGAACCTCAAGTATACGTAGTCTGGGCAATCAAACTGACGTGTCACGCACCGCTTCTCTGCAGCCTGTTGTGACAACTATGTATACTGGAAACGCAGCAAGCGAAGACAGCGGCCACGACACTGATGACGATAACAAAAGGATCAGCAGCACTTGTCGTCGCTCTAAAAGGCGAACATCTTCAGTTGACGGAGCGTCTTTAGTGTCTCAAGAAAGTGTTTCTAGAAGACCCAGCTTCAGCACATTCCAAGGGAGTGAGGATGAACGCACAAATGCCGTTGGAAATCATATGCGGCAAAGTGAATCAGCGCGCAAAGGGCTCACTGATGACAGAGCACGTAAGAAAAGATCAGATCGTCGTGAAATGCTGGAGAAAATTCCTGATGGCACTGTTCCTAGAAACCATTCAACTCGGCGAAACTCCAACGAGAAATTGATTGAGCACACAATTCGCACGTTGCCATTCGACCGAAGCAACACCCCACGGGCTGGACACTCTGACAGTCACCTTGAACTTGAGCTGCTACACAAACCTAGGAACTCGTCATCTCGGCGATATTCCAGTGAAGAATTACTTGACCACGCATTGCCACCTAACGGTAACTACTCAGCAGCTAGTGGCCGATTTGATCGTCAACCACAGACTGAGATTGAAAGCCCGATCAGTAAACCTGACAATGATAAATCCAAGGGGACCTCAACTCGTAGACACTTAAGTGATAAGTTATATAACGACGCAGCTATAACATTGCCGCGTAACCGGGGCAATACAGTACCCACTAGCCACTTTAACAGTCATCTTGAGCCTGAACACGATAGACCCGCCTCTCTTCCATCTTTGCAGTGCCCTGATGGTGCGTGGGGACTCCCTTTGGATTTGATACCTGAATCCCAACAAAAAGCTCGCTCTGAGCTGTCGTTTATCCCACCTCGAGAGGAAGACAGTGACGTCTTGGAGCCTCAGAAGATCAAATTACGGACAAGTTCCGGGCGACGACGGGACATGGGATGGACTCCGAGATTGTCCATCGTCTCTGAGGCTTAAGAGAAATCAGTTCGTCATGTTAGACTCTAGCGTGCCAAGATTGTGAGGAAATCAATAGATTTAGATGAAAGCAGATAGCCTGATTATTCTCTCTGTATTTAGGCGTTTACAGACTGATTTGCAAATGTGTTTGATGCAACTTACGTTGAACGAACGATCAAGCAAACGAGCAAACAATCAAAGAGGCTGTAGCTTGTAGTGTTCCCAAATAATATGATAGTTGAGATTTTGTGCGCTCTCTGCAAGAACGTCAACGTTCGGTTTCGTTTCAACGTGATTTTGGAGAAGGCCTGTTCATCCTCTCTACAACTGACTCGGAATGAAAATTTTAAAAGAAGCCATTTGCTTTCGCTCAGAGATTTTTGTCGTCTTTAATTTTATTCAACGTGGATGCCCCCATTTGCTTCTATAACTAGTTCTAGACCCCGCGCCTTGATCTCTTGGTGACTGCTCCGCCCACTGCTTTGTGAACCCATGATCGCAGCAAAACTGGTTCATGTTTCCCGCCGTTCAATATCCCATTCAAGATCAAAAGAGGTAAAATAATTCTTACAAGGATGCCTTTTTCCCTGACTAAAATGAAACCAAAGGAAGTATTTCCCAGATTGCATTGGACTGACATTAGTTAACGAACGTACTCGGTCACCATCAATTATCTTGCATTGGAAGCACGTGGTGACGGTAACCTTGATTTGTCCCGGGGGCCGCGGAACAGACTAGCCTGTGTCAGGCTCTCAGCTGGCCAAGCAAATGAGTAAGGGAGAAAAAAAATTATCGCGCTCTTTGTCCTTTATTCCATGTCTTTAGTCCCCCCTTCCGATTTTCTTCACTCCTCAAATTAATGACTGTGAAATTTCTGCTTTGTCGGTGGGGCCAGTCCAGTCTGCAGTTTATTTCTGGGTAATTAAGTGCTATCAGTTGAGTTGATAACGTAAATTGGCCACTGTAAAGAGTTTAAAGGCTGACATTTCGTCAGAGCGATTGACGGAGGGCTAACGCTCGAAATGTCAACCTTTAAACTCTTTACTTTAGCCAATTTACGTCATCAACTCAGTTGATAACTCTTAATTACCCTGTTACACTCTCTTACCAGCGCAGCACAAAAGTTTCTTTTAAAACATACCTTTTATTCATTTGTGCTTTATTTCTGTCTATCTTACCCAGAGCACAGCTATTCTTGTTCCTGACATTCTTTTATAGATTTATTATATTTCTGAAATCCAAAAATGATATTTGCAAATACCAACGAAGACCCAAATGAGTGTCTTTAGTGGATCAGGAAGTCGCAAAGTGAGCCTGTCAGTGATTATTTGTGGTGGAACACTTGGTAAAGTATGCGCGCGCAGCCACATTTCTAATGTTTTTCAATGTCTGCAAAGAGGGTGACGTTTACCTATCCATGAAAATTTTCTACTGAGACGTCGAATTCTCCCCTTTCATGATGAAATCACCGCTACGGAAAGCCGTGGTCGTTGTCCTAGTTGTCTACGCCAGCGTTTCATGGTGTGAGGATATTCCATCAGAAACTCCGTCACGAACGAACAGTTCAATTGGGTGAGCCACTTGGAATATGACTCTTGTACCAGTCGAAAATATTAAATGTTTACACGGGTCACTTATTCATCTGAAGTATTTTTACACCCATTGATTGTGATCACAGTTATCAACACTTCATTGTTTAATTCATTTTTTAGCATGAACAACACAGAGGGGGAAGTAAATGCGACAAAAACTACACCAGTTACTACAACACAACCTCCAACAACCACCGAGGCGCCGATCGAGGAAATACCCGAACCACCTGAGGTCGAACAACACAGTTCGATGACAATTTTTTTCATTCTTCTCGTTGTAGGTATGATACTTAAATCTTCTTATCCACAGTTATCTGTGTGTGGCTGTTGGAGCGAGATGTACACATTTTACTAATATTTTCAGTCAATGTCAGCTGTCATTCTTTGAGGCAACTAATTCACATTTTTACTGTGTAGTCGTTGTTATATTTTATATTCTAAAATTATTTGAGCAGCTGCTAATCTCCAATTCTTAAGATGATGTGATTTTTGTATTTAAGTAGAGATAACTTTCAGTGGTCAATAAGAACAGCTGGTGACACCACGACAGAAAAGATATCACTAAATGTCACATGTTTATGAAAATCCTACTTACACCCATTAGTAGTACAAACAAAAACAGCATATTATTTTAATTGTTGAAACCTCACTGAAATGATCCTTGCTATCAGCTGAAACTGGTCTCAACAATAACTTCTTGAGCTGCAACAGAATTTAAAACTTATCTGGAATGATTTGGCCCAGTTTCCACTGTGCTTTGGCATAGATAGAGGCAGAGTGTTTCCACTCTTTAAAAAAAGCTAAGTTAGCTTTTAGGATAAAGAATCTGCCTATTACAAGGAAAAGTGGGAAAAAATTCAAAAGAAAGACATACCTACACTGGAACTATATTATTTGGTACAAATACAGTTTATACAGTTAGTGAAACCCTTCCTTTCCAATTGATCAGATCAGTGTTTTCTTCTGTGACTAACTGTTTTACACACAAATACATAATACATTATTTATGTTACATTCTCAAGAAAGTGATATTGTGAATGCACTGAGAATGTCTGAGTGCAATATCTTTCCCTTCTCATTTCTTTTGTCTTTAGCAATTTATGCTCTGGTACATTTCTATTTGAGGTGAAGCTTGGTGAAAAGAAAACTTTTTTGAAAAGATATGTGAATTAGGATAACTCATCTCCTAATATATAGATTTAGCCAAGCCTAAAAGTGGAGCTTGCATTTTTTTTTTCCCGCACGTCTCAAGGGCACATTGCCTTGCCCTAGCCAGGACTAGAACCCGGGTCATCCAAATCGGAGCCCAGTGCACTGACCACTGTGCTATTGAACAAAGCCGTGGCATTGGTGTGCCCATGGTATAGTTGACCACGCATGTTAATAGTAGCACCTTGTACGGTCGTATGGTCATACAGTCGTATGATTGTACATCCAACTTTTTTTGGCTTGATGGGTTACTACTATTTTGTATAATTATGGGGCTATGCTCTGCGAGCTCCGCTAAAATATTTACATCTATGTATAAATATTGTATATACTTATATTTCAATAGTTTTTTAAAATAAAAATATCAATTCTTGATTACTTTGCATTCGGTTTCATTTTAGCCCTTTGTATTTTGTTGATCCACTTTTTACTGAAGACTAAATTTCACTACCTTCCTGAAAGTGTAGCTGTTGTTTTCCTGGGTAAGTTGCATTATCTCTGGATAGTATTTCAGATAGTTTTTGGAGTGAATGCAATGCTCACAACCTACTCTAGAGACAGTACTATATTTATCTACTTTTTGAAACTTGACACTTTCATACAGAAGATGTATATAATTAATCTTTCCCCTTTACATCAAACCTTGAATGAACAGTTGTTGGTTGTTCTATTGCAGGTGCACTAGTTGGTTTGGTTATAAAAGCCTTAAGTCATTTTGCTCTTGGAGACTGGAGGGTTTGTTTCAGTTTTCTGCTTTGCTGATGTTAATGATAAATTATTCTACTATAGTTGCTCATTACAGGTGCCAGCTCTAATTTTCTGAGGATTACATTTATTTGTATCTTGCCTCAGTCACCCTATATGGAACAAGTTCACCAATTGTTTGGCATCTAGGCAGAATTGTCCAGCTAAACCTGAACATTCTGGCCAAGTTTTCATTTGGACATGAAAAATGTCCTCCTGTTTCTTTTCACTTCTCTCCTTCTTCTTCATATCTCAATGTAGACCTTGTGCATGACTTCTAAGTTCCATTAAGTTTGTATTAAAGGTGACAACATGTACCACAGTTGTATGCTCATCCATTTTTCTAAATTTTCCTAAGTGCCAGTTCTGCATAATTTTTGTGTCATTTAACATGACAAAAAATTGATTGGTTTTTAAATATTCTTATGAAGTATCACATTCAGGAATCCACCCCTTCAAAACAAAACAGTTGTTGCTTTCTTTTGAATTATTATATTTGAGTGAAGACTTTTTTCACAGGCAGAATATTTATATTCTGTTACTTCCTTTCTTTTTTTGGCTTTAAATAGAAAGAGGAACACTTCAATCCTACAGCATTTTTCCTGATTTTGTTGCCACCAATAATTTTTGAATCTGGGTATTCACTCCATAAGGTAAGAGTATCATCCAGATAACAAGAAGAGACTTTTCATTTAAAATTAACATAAAATTATCTTAAAAAGTTTCAAAGTTTTGAATTTTCTTTTTCAAATCAGTTCACTGTATGTGTTCCTTTATGTTAGACTATGGTTATTATGGTGTGTACCACTAAAGGTTTGCATTAAAATCTGACTTTTTGTGTAGAATTCTGAGCCACTTGGTTATTAAGACATTGAATGGTACATGCACTATGTAATTATGAGATGACTAACTATGAAATGTCATCAGTGAACTCTGAACTTACGTCACGGAAAGACAACTTCTCACCCATTCAGTGGTACTTAGAATTTGTTTTGTTAGGCTATATGTTCCTTCAATATATATGGTTTAAAAAAGAAGGCTACAAATTCTTAGCTTTCAGTACAGAAAGCTGTTTTTCTATGTTGGAAACAAAGTCTTTGTAATTTATTTTATTATTTGTTTAAATGGCTATGAAAACAAAACACACTAGACATGAAGTATTTTTCAAGTTGTGGAAATAAAATTCATGGATTTTTTATGGGCACAATGTCTCTGCCAAATTATTCCTGTTAAATATGCCCCTTCCACAGTTGTGAAGTAAAGTACCTCATGTTCTATAAAACTTGATTTCACATCCAAATTTAGCATTTGAAGAGCCAAAGATGAACTTTACCATCTAAATGAGGGATTGGATGATTTTAGCACTTCACTTTCCCTAGAACATTTTAATTCAGCAGTTCCTTTCCTTTTTCAGGGTAATTTTTTTGCCAACATAGGCTCGATTATTGTTTTTGCTATTTTTGGAACAGCTGTATCAGCTATTGTTATTGGAGGTGGTATCTATTTATTGGGAAAGGTAAGTGGTTTCTCTGTCTTTAAAAGGACCTTCCTGAAAAACCAGTTTTGGGTGATCAGCAACCACCTGATGAAAGATCAGTTAGAATTACAACAATACTGATCATAATAAATTTATTGGCATGCTTTATGCTTAATTGTATAAATTGAAAAGTGGTACTTTAGTGTTGGAACTGAAATCTGCTCTTATCTCAGGAATCTTTATGACCATCTGTTGTACCTAAGTGGTCCTTTAGGAAGAAAACAATTCGTAAAGCAAATAGATCATTACAAAACAAAACAGATTTTCAGTTTTTGAATATAAGAGGCAATCATAATTACTGGTACTCTGTGCTTTACATCATGATCTTTTTCATCAGATTAAATTGGAGCTCTATATTTGCATGTATTTTAGTGAAGATAAAAGTGATATTTCCATATGACTGCAGCTGCATAAAATATTGTTTCCTTGTTCATTTCAATTAATGGACATCTTACAAGACATATCTCTTTTATTATTTGTCCATTTAGGGTGGTGTAGCATTTCAACTTGATTTAAGAGAAAGGTGAGGTTTTATAATGTTTGGTTAGGTTTTTACCTGCAAACATGTGAGCTGCTGTACATTTATAAGCTCAATTTAGGTCTTTTTTCTGATGCTGACCCTGTTTCCAGGGCTTGTGAACTGTAATGGTACTTACTGTAGTTCTAACTTGTAGTGTTACAATGTAATGATAGACAGTGATGCTTTGATTTTTAGTTTAAGTTTCCCACTATACATGTTGAAAAAGCTTTTGAAGGTGACTTCAAGGTTTACCCAAGTTTTCTTTTCACAGCTTTGCCTTTGGCTCCCTGATTTCAGCAGTGGATCCTGTAGCAACACTGGCAATCTTCCATGCATTGGATGTTGATCCAACATTAAACATGTTGGTGTTTGGCGAGAGTATTCTTAATGATGCTGTTTCTATCGTCATGACCAAGTAAGTGGGTGTTCTATATTCAATACAATATTCCTTTGTCATGTTATTCATTTCTCTTTAAACTTTGATGTGCTATTCTATGCTTTTTTCCTTATAGTGAGCTGTGTGTTTGAATTTAATGAGAAATTATTTTTGAAAGTAGGTCACATGTTATCTCAAGTTATTGTGAGGACTAGAATCCTTCCTTTGGCATTCAGGTGCTTCTAGGCTGCATGAGGAATGAACACGAGGATTGAATATGAGGAATGAACATACAGGAGAAGAACCCATTGCATTTTGCATGGTTTATTCATCATGACCACAGAATCGTCTCAGTTACACTTTTTCATTTAGGAAAATACATAAACCCTTTCCTTTAACTTTAAGTAAAACCCTTATTGAAATATTTATCTTGTTATTTTCAGTACTATCTTAGAGATGGGAGCTGCACAATACGCTGATAGTAGTTCTTTTGAGACATTCTTCTCAGCTGTGGGGAATTTTCTTGTAATGTTCTGTGGTTCAGCAGGCATTGGGATCCTATTTGCTCTCATAAGTGCATTTATATCCTTGAAAATTGTGACTTCTAGTTTTGCAGTGTTGTTTGATTTTTATTCTGAGGAAAATTATTTGTTCAGAGCAATACCTTGAAGACACAGAACTAGTTACTAAAATGTTTTTTCCTTGACAATGCTGTCACCTTTTGAAGCATGTTGATTTGCGAACCACTCCTTCTTTAGAACTTGGTACCATGTTAATATTTTCCTATGCACCTTATGGTTTGGCAGAGGGCCTAAAACTATCAGGTAAGTTAATTTTACTCAGTCTATAGATGTTGGATGATATTTCTTAAATACAATTTAACATCAGGGCGAAATTGGCAGTTGCACAGTTTCCAGTGGCAAGTTATAACTGACCAGGGTCACCGAAAGTTAAGGTTTGAATGCCCAATGTGTGACTATGCTACAGAATTTCAAAAAGTTGCAATGTAACTTATGTGAAGTACAAAGTTAAAAATAAAACTCAATATGTAGTTTAATTGGACTACCCTTCTCTTCATTTCTTTGCCTGGACTCTACGATCATCCATTTTAGTGAATTTTGTAGTTCTGAAGTGGAAATTCCAAGCCGTTTTAACAGTGATTTCGTGAGGTTCTTTCCTTTTAGTTAACACTCTGTTAAAAGCCATGGGGCATTTATTCAAGTTTTTCATTTTAAACTAGAGGAAATTAAGGGCAACTTCATTTTGGAATGGGCCTCTAAGAATTCAAGGAAACTGGCCTGACTGGCCACCAAGCTCTGGAGTTAATTTTAAGCCCTGTAACATGATTAACTACTGCATGGGATTTTAGTTTAAGTGACCATAAAATAGAATAAAAATGACTTCCCAAACTGCACCTTATATAAAGAAAGGTGTCACATTTCCGTTCAATTGATCATGTAATAATTTTAGTAGAAAATATTCATGGAGCTCAACTATTCAATCAAGAAGATAACTTGAGGAAGAGTTATTCAGTTATGAATGACCCCTGAGGTGAATTTCCCTCTCATGCATGTATTACCTACCATGCACCCAGGTGACCAATTTCTTATGTTCTGTTTGACTGCAGGAATCATGGCTATTTTATTCTGTGGCATTGTTATGTCTCACTACACCCATTTTAATTTGTCACCCATGACTCAAATTACAGTACAACAGATTTTTCGTACAACAGCTTTTATGGCAGGTATGTTTAATTCATATTCCTGAGATAAAAAAAAGGTTTACAGAAAGTGGATGAGTGATGTAATGACTCAGATGAGAGGTAAACCTGAGGTTTGGAACTCTGTGGACCCATGATGTGGTTACTGTTGTTTATATACTAAGGGAGCATTGCTGTGTGGTCGGGATGCTGAACTTGTCACATGATGATCTTGAGTTTAGCTTCCTAGTTGCACTCCGTTCATAGCCAAATGGCTTGCCTCTAGACAGAGGGGATATTATGTTGTTAAATAATTGTATACATCATGCTCGTTGACCCTGATTGGCCTTATTTGGGGGATGATTGGTGTGAATATCAGCACCTAGATAAAGCCTCTGAACACAGTTATTGTAAATTATTTCTACAGGAAACATGTGATTATAAAATTCTTTTTTTTCATATTGACTTTAATGAAGAACTTTGAGAAGCTTTGATTTGTTTGTCATTGCCCTGAATGTTAATTTACTAAACCTTTTTTTTTATTTCAGAAACATGTGTATTTGCTTATTTAGGAATGGCAATCTTTAGTTTCAAACATCAATTTAGACCAGCATTTGTTATTTGGACTATAGTAAGTATTGTGAAAGGAAGATTGTTCCCACGGAAAAATGTGCAGAAATTTCTACCTGATTGTTTTACAAATAGTTTTCTAAGAATTTGGTTACTGAGGCTATTTTATGTCAACCCATAACCATTCATACCCTTCTAGATTTTACAAGACAGTGTTCAATCTTTTTTGATGCATTCACATTTATTTTTATTTTTACATTTTGCCATGTTTAAATTTTGTTAAAATACTTATTTCTTGCTTTTATATTGTTACTTACTAGATTCTTTGTTTACTTGGAAGAGCAGTGAATATTTACCCACTATCTTCCCTTGTAAACCAATTCAGAGATATTAGAATCTCTCGCAAAACTCAGTTCATAATGTGGTTTAGTGGTACGTATGTAAGCAATAGAAATACTTTGTCTGTATGAGTTTTTGTTTGGTTACATGTACAATGTTAAAGAGTATGCACATAACTTAATCTTGTGTTATCATCCCTGAATGTTCCCTTCTAAATAATGTCACTGTGAAACTAAGAGAACTTGAAGTAACCTGAATTATTTTGTGACTGTCTGTTATAATAATAATAATAATAATAATAATAATAATAATAATAATAATAATAGTAATAATAATGACTTTATTGGATAACACAATTACTGGTTGAACCAGTAGTTCTCATTGTGGTCCATGACCACATGACCAATGACATTTTAGATTAGGACACAGGCTAAACCACAAACCTGTAACCAATGTAATTATGTACAGTTAAGTTGCATCAAGTCTGGTTGACTCCTTCCCTTTAATATAGCAAAAGGTCTGGAATTTTCCTTTTATCATACAGTTCCTGTAAAAGAGATCTATAGAACCTTAATCACAAACTGTATTTTTGTAATTGTTCTCTGATTGAAAGCAAGCACTCAAAGAGATATCATGGAATCAACAGACTAAATGATACTGTCAGTGCTTATTTCTGCAAAGTAGATGTGATGACATTTGATACTATCCTCAGGTTTACGGGGGGCTGTGGCCTTTGCTCTTGTGCTCCATCTTCAGTTGGATGATGAAAAGCGACATGTCCTCATCACCTCTACACTCATTATAATCATGTTCACAATTCTGTGTTTAGGCGGATCAACTCTTCCATTGTTAAAGGTGAATTGAACTTCAATACATTGTAAATGATGATTGTATAGTCTAAATCAATTCTATTAGGCTTTCAGTTCATGCACAGTATGTGTGGTTGGAAAAGCTGAAATGGTGGAAATAGTTTTAATGAATAAAAGAAAACCTAATTTTTTTTCCTGTCATACATTTTACATTGTAGTTACTCAAAGCAGATCAAGGATTGGAAAAGAGTTTAACACTTAGTAAAACACAGACAGAGGTAAGTCATGAAATGATTACAACTTGGGCATGACCATGCACCCCTCATCTCTCTACTGCCTTTCTTCTCCATTGTGTGCTGTTCCTCTTTTCCTCCAGCCAGTATACTTACAGAGCAGTAAGCCAACATTTGTTAATCCACAGGGTAAAGCAGTGGATGCAGATCAACTGACTGATGATGAATGGAGAATAAGCAGCAGGAAAGCTTTGAAGGGCTTCTCTCGGCTTGATGCTAAGTATTTCATTCCATTCTTCACCAGAAAGTTTACAAGACAGGTAAAATACAGCACTGCTGGGTCATTATTGCTACAGCTGATTGCTGTTGTGCTTACCCTTCTTTTTCCTGCATTGTTCTTTCAGGAGGTCCGCAATGCACATGAAGAAATGCAGCGCTTAACAAGTCAGTTATACAGTGAAGTGCACAGTGACTTGGCATCTGAAGATGAAGCAGAGAACAAACTCTAAATTACACATTTGTCTCACAATGAAGCAATTTGGGAAGGGGTAAATGAATGCAAATTTAGATCTAGTAGATCACTAATTAAGGGTAAGGACATAGTGATGTGTTGTTACACTTATGGATATTTATTTCTGGGTTTTTTTTTTAAATACAAGCTAAATATTTCATGTTTTAGACATTATCTCATAACTTGAAACTACAATCACTGTTGTGAATAACATTCCTTTTCAAAGCTCTGACAGAAGGCTGATGCTCAAACATCACCTTTTGAAGCTCTTTACAGTGGCTAATTTACATTACTAACTCAGATGATAAAACCAAATTACCTTTTCAAAGCTTCTCTTACTTGGATGATCAGACCACACAATCAAAGTTCAATGTAGGAGGAACCATTATTCAGCACTAATGGCCGGCTCATTAGCTCTCATCTTAATGGAACCACTTAAATGCAGTCCTAAGTTGCCAAGACTACAAACTCTATAAATACATTAAAGAGGATTATTTAAGTGTACATTGTACCAAAGAATTAGTACATTGTGGCTGAGGCAATTTTTTGTCTCAGTGATTTTCTGACATTTCCATGACTTAGTAGATGATGAAATATAAATTTATGTTAAGTATTATTTGTAAATATGTATATTAAAGTTTGATAACTTATACAGAAGTTTTTGAATATTCAAGGAGAAATTGGGTAGAAATTTGTGAATAATATATTTGAAAGTTTTAAATGTGGAGGCAAAGTGGAGTTACTCTTAAGATTATTACTTTTGGCAGGTAGCACTCTTGAAATACACTGTGAGTAAATGCCCAGTAGCTGGCCATGGTCTCCTAAATGCCCGGCAGAAAGAAATTTTCACAGATTTTCCATAAAAAGGTTCTCTCAAACCTCTTTCGAATATCAGAAGCTTTTTCAGAAATGTTAAATGATTCCAAAAATTAATTTGGATTTTCAGTGGACAAACTCTCCTAGCTTAAGCATACTAGAATATTGCTCAGTTTTCAACACTAAGGAATTGCACACCTCTTATCACACTACTGGGCTTGGGTCTCAAATGGAATAAATGCCCAGAAGTCAGAAACTTTAAATAAAATGCCTCTGAAAAATTCATACAAACTTATTGAGTAAATTTGATGTTTGTTTAGAAATGTTGGTTTTTCAGTGGTCAAGCTGGAACGTACCATACTAAAACACATTAATATTTTAACCAGTTGAACCATTAACAGACTTAACATTATATTACATTATAGTATGCAAAAACTCGGAAAATTTGTCCACTTAAGAACCAAAAACTCAATTTTTGGAATCACTTGACATTCTAAACAAAAATCTGATACTAGGAACTCTTCAGTGGCATTTTGATTATTTCTGACTGCTAAGAAGTTAGTCCATTCAAGACCATGTCCAGCAACCTGATTGGAGGTGTGCAATTTTTGAGAAATAACCTTTCTGTGAAAAGTCTCTAAAAGGTTTTGACTGTCAGGCATTTACTCTTTTGGAAACTGCACGCGGCTGTGGTGCATTTAGTTGCAGTGCACAATATATATTTGTACACCTGTACAAATAAACCATGTTTCTTATTTTTCACTTGTAGCAACAGTATTTCCTCTGAAAGGACTTGAAGTAAAAGTCAGATTTCAGTGGTTCTCGGAGTATTTTGTTGTTGTTTGTTGTTTTTCAACGAGTCAAGGGTGCCCATGGTAACTTCTTGTTCATCTATTCCTCACTCCCTTTACCTCTTTACCGCCTACCACAGTACAGAGGGCCATTTCAGCCCAAATTTTAAAATTTTATCCAAAGTATAATCTGGAAAACAGAACAGAAGGGGACGCATCTGTTCTTATAAAAACAACGAAATTTGATGCAAACGATAAATAAGTGCGACGCTTTAGTAAGTTTTACATGACAAGCCCTCCTTTCAAGTTGGTAAACGCTTACATCATCCTATTGCACTTTCTTGTGCAATGCAAGCGGTTTCGTGTTCTTTACTTCCTTTGACCCTCAATAGTTTTCCCTAATTCTCAATCAGTTTTGTCATTTTCGTGATTCGGAATCTAACTACAGAAAACAGGCATTTCAAACATGGCGGTGAGAGCGAAATTTGAAAACAGCAATGAAGTTGGGGTTTTCGCGAAGTTGACGAACGCGTATTGCCTCGTGGGAATCGGTGCCTCAGAGAACTTCTACAGGCAAGTAGCACAAGTACTTTGAAAGCTTACTGGTCGAAGAAGCTTGTAGCTTGGTATTTGAATTTTACGGAATAGAATTCTTTTGCAAGAAACGGGAAAGAGCGAAATGGAAAAGGGAATCAGAAATCGCACTTCACGTGAAAAAGACGATAGAAATGGTTCAAGAGCATTTAAGTCTGTACAGTGCTCTGTTTCTAGTCCGCAATAGCACATTCTTAAGCACATCCTTTAAATTTATACAACCACTGATCCCTAATCATTGTTTATGTGCGTAGGGTCATGGGTAAAGCTGTGTGGCTTATCTCTCTGTTATTTCAGCCATGCCCACTGCAATAGACAGTGTTGGGAGATACATCGTTTTGTTATTATTCCTATTATTTGGTTCGTCTTGTATCTGATCATCGACTCTTTTGAAAACTTTACGTATAAATAGGACCAAACTTTGTTGTCATGTTTTCTTTTTTGTCATTTATGAATTTAGTACTAACACTGAAATTAATAAAGGGGCACTTCCTGGCCTTGAAGTGCGCCTTTCATTGTGAACTTCAAGGGAGGAGTGGGGTCAGTGGAGTAAAATAGGAAGGGAGTCAACCACAGAAACATTCTAATTTTTTGGGCCATTTGATCCTCTTGCACTTTCCCTCCTTTGTTTGAGGTCAATCTTTAGCTTTGAAAGCCTTCCTCAGTAAGAATGCACTTGGTGGCTAGTGTTGAACAAGATCAGTTTCTGATCAAGATGTTAACATATTTTTGTGTTGTATAAATTGCAAATATAAAAAAGAAAGGTGGAAGGATTCTTTGATAAAATACATGAATTAAGGGTTAGTGAATGGTCACCCAAAAGAACTTGATATCTGAACAACTTGCAGTTAGTATTACCATGAATACCATTGTACCTGTACATACTGTATCATGCTTGTATCTTGTCTGGTGTTCTGAGGCACTATTTCCAAGTTCACGTTTTGCCTAAAAGTTTATGGGCTTACTTTCCACTGCCCTCTTAAGTTTGGTTTTCATTCTTTTTCATCTCCTCTTCAGCAAGAGAGTTATGATTTGTGTTCACAACAGCAACTTGTGATCAGATCTCATACATTGAATTTTTTTTTTTGAATAGAAGGAATATAGTCATCCCCTGTCTTTGACCCAGTTATAGTACAAAAAGAACAAGGTGAATTTATCTGTTTCACAGGACTGGAAATGTTTATTTATTTATTTTGTGTTGGTAGTGTTTTTGAAGGTGAACTCTCAGATGTAATTCCTGTAATTCGAACATCAGTTGCAGGCGTTAGAATTGTTGGGAGACTGTGTGTTGGTGAGACCTTGTCTATTGCTTCAAGTTTACTCTACTAGCATAGAAGATTTTTTAATTATGGAAATAACTATAAACATACCATGTAGCTTCATTTCAAGTGCTAAGACCAAATTATTCATTGTCATACATCTACACTGTTAAGAATTGTTGATGTAATGTGTACTTGCCTTTTTCTTTGCATATTACTTCAGTGGAACCTCAATTTAACACACCTCTATGTAATAAAGTCCTCAGTATAATGAACGATACTCTTCAGCCTGGCAAAAGTTACAGTAAATTGTACAGGAAAGAACCTTGATATAATGAACCTCTGTATAACGAAATCTTCATTATAATGAACAGAATCTAGAGGTCCAAACTTCAATATACCGTGATATAATGAACAAATGTCAACACGTGACAAAAGGCAAATGCAAGAAGACTGACAAGAATCAAAATCCATCAATTTCATAACAATAAAACAACTTTACAGCTAACAGTTCATTGTAAATGCAGACACTGATATTATGGACACTTCTACAGATCTGCTTTATCCTCTTTGTCTCTTATTAGTACTATTTACCCTTTAACTCCCATGAGTGACCAAGACAGAATTTCTCCTTACAATATCAATACAATATCAACCAGATGAGTAATGAGAATTAAGAAAAATATCAATTGGGGGATAATTAGTTGATTCAATACCAAATTCTCTGAACTAACATGATAACAATTGTATGGTTGACAGAAAGGAGAATTACAAATTTGATCTGGGAGTTAAAGGGTTAAGTTGAATTTAACCTCTTTATTTTTGACGGAATTTCCAGTGCAATGCCTTTATTTCTCCATTTGTAGCTTCCACTGAAGTTTGTTGTCCATTCTTTACAAACAAGGTGCTGTAGCTATGTACAGACCTGTACTGTATACTATAGCTTCATATAGACCTGTGCAGTGTACTATAGCTTCATATAGTTGTTAAAGCAGTAATCATTTCAGTCCCAAAATGCTGGGTAACATGATGTCACATCATAAAACAAAAAAAAAAAATAAAAAAAAATTATTATTAACTGGCCCTCAATATAACAAACATTTTGGTTGTTTTTTCTGCAAATTTGTCAAATTGAGGTTTTTGATACAACAAACCAATTTCCCTAATCCCTTGGCACTTCGTTAAATGGAGGTTTTACTGTAGTCTAAGACTTCTCTCGGCCTTCCTTTACTTGTACTTTCTATACACACACACAAGGTCTGGTTGTCAAATAGAAAAAGAACTGTTAAACACATGGAATTTGTTATATTTCAGGTAACAGAAATGGTCTTCTTGTACCAAATACAACAACAGATCAGGTAACTTTTAAAAACCTCTTTCTTTGTTATTTCACTCTAACAAGCATAAATGAGAAAGAAAATTCCATGATGGTGGCTTGTTGACTGACAACTTTCTGAAGAGGTATTGACTCTGCTTTACTTTACTTTATATGTTAGAAACCTTTTATCTTTCTAGCACTGAGAAAGTAAAATTCTTACATTTAATTTGATACTTTACTTTTAACAACACATTCAACTTTGAATTAGTTAACACACAAACAAAAGACCTTGTTATAGGAATAGTATTTTTATTTTTATGGATTTATCACATCTGGCAAGTGTCTAAACTGTTTATTTTTTTCGCTGTGCTTTCATGTAGGAACTTCAGCATATTCGAAATGCCTTGCCTGATTCAGTGAAGATAACGAGAGTGGAGGAGAGACTTTCGGCGTTAGGAAATGTAATTGTCTGTAATGACTATGTTGCCCTTGTGCACCCTGATTTAGACAGGGTAAGTCTTATACAATCAATTAAGGTTGTAAACAAGCTAGCTTTTATTCTTAAAAACAGTCTGGTTAGCTTAAACTTGTTTTACAAAATGTGGTAGGGAGTTAGACCTAGAAGTGTGAACAATAAGTCATCAGCACATCTACTTTCTTGTTGCAAATAAACAGTTTTAAAAGGAACAACCAAACACTTTTGAATATTTCCCCCTAACAGACCACTCCTATTTCTGCGTGACTTTCCCACACCTGGAACAACATAAACAAAGCTCTGTCCATTCCACCTGGAAAAAGAATGTTTATAGGAATGATACAAGAACATAATTTTTACTTTTCAGGAAACTGAGGAAATTTTAGCAGATACCCTGAAGGTGGAGGTCTTTCGTCAGACTGTGGCAGGGAATGTTTTAGTTGGGAGCTATTGTGCTCTTAGTAATAATGGTGGCCTAGTAAGTGTTGGATTATCAAACTCTGTTTTTCTTTTGACTGTTGCAGTCTATTTGTTAAACCAAAAATTTTGAGTGATAAAATGCACTATACACATTAATATTCTTTTCTCAATTTTATGTTACAAGAGTTTCAAAAGAAGTGTCAGCCTATGTAGAAATGATTATTTCTTGGACAAGGTTGTTGAAAATAAAGTGTGCTATCCACCCGGTCAAAATAAATATTCTGATATTTATAAATGTGATCATTGTATGCTACAGGTGGAAGGGAATTTAAACTTTTTTTGTAGGTCCATCCAAGAACAGCTGTTGAAGATCAAGATGAGTTGTCATCGCTATTACAAGTTCCTCTGGTGGTGAGTTCATGCTTTAACTTACATTTATTTAAAAGTTCAACTGTATCAATGTTAGAAGCAAACTATGAAAGACAGTTTGATGCTCCAGGCATATTAAGATTGTGGTGATAATATTCTTAATACCAATAAATGTGCAGATGTGAAGAGACAAAGTTTTATACTTTGTCCAAGGCAGTGTTTTGTTATTCTTTGATAGTGGTTGAAATTTATTTAGGCTGGGACAGTCAACAGAGGAAGTGATGTCGTTGGAGCAGGAATGGTTGTAAATGACTGGGTTTCATTTTGTGGACTGGACACTACAAGTACTGAACTGTCTGTGATAGAAAGTGTATTCAAGTTAGGAGATGCTCAACCATCAGCTATTACCAGCAGTATGAGAGCATCACTGTTTGAGAGGTGGGTAATTTAATTGTAGGCCACTCAGAAACAAAAGATGACATTTGAATTAGAGAAAAAAATCTCATGATTTCTTTGGAAAAACTTTCGTGACCACAACACAAATTTTCTAGGAGAGAGTCTTATGTAATGTAGACAAAGCAAATTTTTTAGTGGGGAAGTTTTCTCCTTTGTATAAACTAAGTTGAATGATGTGTTTTTGCATTTCATGTAGTGTATAGTCTAATATCTAAGGCTTACAAGTAATATTTTATTTTACAGCATGACATAAACTGCAGGAAAATTGAAGCATATTGAAGCACATCATATTTGTACAATCAACTTTCTCTCCATGGATATGTTTAGTACAAGTTCCTATTTAATGACGCTAATAAGTTTCCCGCCTCTTGAACATCAGCATCAAGGAGGTGGTTCCTGAAGAGATGTCGTGGTTGCCATAGGAATGTATGTACTCCTCCCCCCCCCCCCCAGTACACACACGTACACACACACACACACTCACAATGATCACTGCCCCAGTAAGCTCTCACAAGAAAGTAAACTCTCGCTCAGAGGGTGGAGAGATAAAAGGGAAAGGAGTGTGACACAAGTCCTCTCCGTGATCAAGTGAGAACATAATGCCAACTATGAAGGAAGTGACTGTGTAAATGATGTGATGTCAAACGTGCCAATCACGAAGAATGAAATGACTAATATCTTATGTCGGTAATTAATTGCATATCAGCCATATGTCTTGTCCTCTACGGATATTTTTTAAAAAACTGTGAAAGCGTCAGTTTAATAAAACAGTTGTATAATCATGCCATATTTTTCGTCCAACAAGTCGCTTTGCGGCTCACTTTGAAGTAGCCAGAATGTTCGAGGCTCCTATCCAAATCCCGTCAATGCCTGAATTTTATTTAGGATTATTTTTCTGTCATTTCTTGAAATGCCTTTCACTTGTAACTGTTGATGCTATTGAGTCTTTAAAACAGCTTTGTAATAATAAAATACGAGGAAACGGCTTATCAGTCTGTCTGAACAATCCTTTTTAAGCAGTGAATATAATTGCATCAAAGAAATTTTGAAATTGTAAAATGCGATAGCTTTCTCTCATTCTTACATGATCTGATTAAGTACGCCAGTGTTTTATATCTATCTCATTAGCTTGGTGTTAATAATTGTATCAACAATAGGTGTCCTGTTGGTGCATGAAATCTTATGTTAGATTTTTGTGTTTTTAGATTTGATAAAAGTCGAGCTACGTAACTCTAGGGTAATTTGATTGAATGTAATGCGCTTGTTGATACCGTGTAATAAAGAGTGCCAATTTGAAAGATAAATTTTTGTTCTAGAGTTTTGCGGCTTTCCGAACAACCTAGATGTAGGGAAAGGCCGCAAACTGCCATATGCTGCTTTGAGTGATTAGGGACGACGACGTCGTGAAGGTCTTCTCGGAATCGGTCACCAAGTCGTCTTCCTGTTTCACAAATGTCTAACTTTTCGCACTAAGAACAAGTTATGCAGTGGATGACCTTGGCGGAGGTGCAACACGCTCTTCATTCAACTAATTGATTATTGTTTCTCGTCATTATATTCCCCTGTAGAACCCCACACAATCCACAATTCCTCCAATCGCTCTGACGAAGGGCTAACGCTCGAAACGTTAGCTTTTAAATTCCTTACGGTGGCCAGTTCACGTTATCAACTCGTATGATAATACGTAATTAATCTGTTATACTCCCCCACCGACGGAGTTTCACAGTTTCTTCAGAAACTTACCCCCCTTAACGTAACTCTAGGTTTGGTTAGCGTGAATTCCGGCGAGGCAACTTTCGCGGGATTTGACCGTAAATCATTTCAGTTATTCTTTTGAGGGGGACATTCTGGGAAGGACGCTACCACTTGGATTTGCGTGCTACTGGTTTCGCGTACAGTTTGCGTCGCCCTTAGCGCTGAAAACATTATTTATTAAAGAAAAACAAACAAACAAACAAACAAAAACCAAAACCAAAAAACGCTATGATTAGCATGGAGGAGAGGGTTGGGGGTGGGAAGTTCAGCTGTCATTTTTAACAATTTGTTAGTACCCTTCCTGGGAAAATTTTTTTAGTTAAAGCGCCAAGGATGTCTCTAACCTATGCCTATGTTCAGTTCTATTGATACGCTTTTCTGACCATTTCCTTTATGGTGTATGTAGAATTTAAACGTTTTAGAGCGCATTAGAGCTTTACACTGAGCCCAATTAAGAAATATATATATATATTGGTTTTTTATTGGACAAATTCTACGAGCTTTTGCATACTATGTTTATGTGTTTTCTAGTGTGTTGCTGAAAAACCAACATTTCCAGACAAACATCGAATATACTCAAGAGGTTTGTATAAAGTTTTCAGTGGAACTCAGTTTTTTGGTAAAAATTTCCGAAGTCTGATCAGAAGCGCACAATTTCGATGTATATTTTTGTATGCTCAAGCTCGGAAAAATTGTCCACTTAAACCAAATTAATTTTTGGAATCGCCTGACAATTGCATACCAGAATCTAAAACTCTTCAGAAATTTCGCAGGACACATCTCGCTGTTGCTCGCCGTAGTAACAGCGTGAACTGGTTTCTCTAAGTATGGAAAATCGCATGCTCCGAGAGCAAAGCGTGCTCTCGAAATCTGGCCAATCAGGACACATGAGTTTCAGCTGTTTCTAGCTTTGCACGACCTCGGTTAGGAGAGGCACACCAAGGACATTTCATTGTTTGGCCTTTTTTTAGGTTATAATTATTTTTTTCATCCCCAGTCCACAGCTGCCTGCCAAGTTATAATTAGTGATAAAGTTTTTCCAGACTGGTAGATGGAAAATGTCAGCTCCACTTTGCAGTAAAATGTTCACTGGAAGCAAATATAAGCTTCTCATCAAGTTAACGATGGCAGCCGCTTTGATGACGGCGTTAACTTCGTTTTTGGCTAATCTCTCACCCAAGTCATTAGTTAGTCTCCGCAAAAACTGTAACTCTTGGAAAGCAACTCAGTCACAACACAAAACCACTCTGATATCCAAGACTGTTTGTTTGCAGAATTATTTCCTTCTCGTTTTGGTATCTTCAGCACCATCACATTTCGGAAGAAGGGATTTAATTCGTCAAACTTGGGGAACGGACAAAACCAGCGTTCCTGAATGGAAGACATATTTTTTAGTTGGACAAACAAAGAATCAAACTGATTCTGATCTACTAAAGGCAGAAAATAAAATCCATGGTGATATTATTCGTGCTAATTACTCTGAACACTACTGGAATCAAAGTTTGAAAGTAGCGATGGGATTTGAGTGGGCCGCGAGATACTGCAAATTTTCATATCTTTTGAAGGCAGATGATGATGTTTTAGTGAACACCAACGATTTGATAACTCGTTTACAACGCCCATCAACACCAAAAAATGGTCTGTACATGGGGAAAATAAACAGAAACGCTGAAGTTCGTCGCTATGGCAAGTTCTCCGTTAGTCACAAAGAATATGCTGGTTCAGCTTTTCCAGATTATTGTAGCGGGGGCGGTTTTATTCTTTCTTATGATGTGGTGGAGTGTATGGTTCCTTCATTTGAGGTGATTAATCCATTTCGAATCGACGATGTTTATGTGGGGATAATAGCGCATGAATTGGGTTTAACACCAGTACATCACAGCTGGTTCCTGTTTCCAAATTCTAATTATGATGATTGCTTTTTCACACCTAATGTGCTTGTTCAACATCAGGTACTTGGTCAGTGTTTAATTCAACAGTTACACATGCACTCTGTTGATTTTTATTCTTTTTGGTTGGGGTCGCACTATTGATGTTTGAGGGAAAAGACTTGTACAGTGCAACTACCAGCTTCTACTATTGCCTGAATTGCTTACACAAAAGCAGGAAACAGTCCCAGTAATAGTAATAGCACTCTAATTTAGGTAAAATAAAACTTGCTCAGTTTTTTAGTTTCTGTGATCCTGCTTTTCTCACGTAACTCCATAGCTTGAAAAAGCTTGAGGCATCCCACACACAAAAAAGTCATTCAGAAACTATGTAATCATATTTCCTGTTCTAATTGTATTTGATGATCACCGTTACCATTAAACTTCCGCTTTATTTTAACTCTTTGTAAAGTAAGTGGTGTGCTTTGCTTAGAAATCAAGAGCCAGGTGGCATAAAATTATTTTACACACAAGATTCCAATGGGTTTTCCAACCTTTCCATCTGTGAGCCCTACTTACACAGCAAAGTTTTCCATAACAGTAGCAACTCCAATTTTTTCATATTCATACTGTACGCCTATTTACAACAATCCAGTTGCTGGTATTATACAGTTGACATTAACTGTGTTAAATAGGTATCTAGGAAACTCTGTTCACATAATGACTTGATAGACATGTCAACTGTGTTTTCCACAAACCCATTTCAGCTGTGGATCACCAGACCAGAGCTCTGTCAGTTTCACAACTGATTTCCATGTACACTGGCAGGCATAAGCACAGCAACCTGTCCAAAAATATCACAAATAATTGCAAAAAATGTGGTGATGGGATTGTGTTACACTGGTACAGTTTACATTTGGTTACATTTGGTTATCCTCTCCCCTTCTACCCCTCACCTACTATGAAATAAAAACCTCTAAAACAGACACTCAACAAAATCTTCGATTGAAAATTTCATTCTCTTAAGGAGAAAAAAAAAGTATTAATAATAGTCATAATAGTAATAATTAAGTAGCAGACATTCCATGAGATGGTCCTTCCAGTCCAAAGTTTCTGAGTTGAATTAAAAATTTGTAATGTTCATTGTAAAGGGAAGAAAGCTAGGTGACCTGGAGTAAGGATGGGAACCAATGGAACATGTGATGCCAGGTTCAGAAATTGAGCCTGGGCCACAGTGTTGGGAAGTGACCTCTATTTTTTAAATGAACTCTCCACAATCTCACCTCTTTTCCTTGTTAGTTTGCTTATAAGCTTGTCAAAATCTGGTATATTATTTCTGAAGAATAAATAATCACAATCTTTGTGCCACTCGTAGTCATTCAGGATGACCACATTGAAATCACATGATGTACATCGTAGCTTGTCACACACCCTAGATATGAAAACAAAGATTAAAACCACTAATTCATGCAACTGATAAATCTTTTCTTGCCTCCTACTATAAAATGCCTGTCCTTAAATCATGCACATTTTGTTGAAGTAAGAACCCAGGTCTGTCTAGAATAGGACTCCTAGTAGTAACTGTGACTGACATTTTAGAAACCTGAGAGGTGTTGCACTTTGTTCTAAACACCACAACAGACAGAGGCTTGTTTTGGAACTAGACAGTTCATTAAATGTGTATATTCTACGTAAATAACACACTAGACTATTCCATGAGAGATATTTGATGAATACACTACACCAACAGTCCAGTAATCAAGGATAAATTACAAACACAAATGAGATTTATACACAATCAAAACTATTGATGGTGTGGGTGGGAGGGACACTAAGACTTGCTCAAAGCTAGAAATAGATCATTGCTTGCTTGCTTGCTAGATCACTAATAACTTGTGCACAGACAACTAAGTGGTAATATACTTATTATAAGTAATTTCCCAATTAAAATGGGTTAGTGTGGTGAACGGCCATTGATTCTAGCCGAGTCTTATGACTTGTATGCCAAACAAATTGCCTAATCATAAGGAAAGTGAAAACACTAATATGCACCTTGCCTGTACCCAGTCCAGGCCTCTCAGTTATCGATATCTAGATTAATATTAGTAGAGATTAATAATATTCACTGCAATTCAGCTTGCTGAAAATTTTTAATCAACTTTGCATCAATATTATTGGCTGTAAGAATCAAGAAGCAATAATTAGGTTTGATTTTTCTGTTGAGTTATGGTTTTCAGATAAAACACTGTTTATATTTCATTGTAATAATTTTAAACTCTAGAACAAAAATTCTTTTTGAAGTGCAAGGGACAGACAGTGGTTAGAGTTAGGTTTAGGAAATTTCCTCTTCCTATTTTAAACTTTCAATAAACCTCCCTATCCCAGTAGTGATCAAGAAGGAATTTCACCTTCCAATTTCAATATTTTATTAGCAGAGAGGTGAAATGAGGAAAGGTTATTAAAGCTTAGGGACACTGTTTCATTTAACACCAAAATATCAATGACGAAATAATTTGTAAGATGTACAAGGACTTTGCCAAAAAGTTGAGATTTAAATCTTGAAGGTTAAAGGGTAAAGGCAACTTGAAGGGTTGCAAAGCTCTTGTAAAAATTATGGCACTGAGGAGTTTTTGTTGCAGAATACTAATTAGTGATGAAAAATATCTTATATTCAATAACACACTTACCGCTCTTCTGACCCAGTGCAAAGCCCTTTTGCAAATTTAGAACCGCCTAGAAAAACTTTGACACAACGCTTTCGTGCTGAACTTAAATCTGTTGTGTTTGAGTTGGACAAAGATTTTGCTGGCTGTAATAGAAATTAATAAAAATAAGGATATATAAATAAATTTATAATTAATTTGGTGCAGTCATTATTTCCCTTGACTTATGAAGTTGAGACAGGAGACCATTGATGGTAAGTAAGCTTAGAATTCAAAGCAGTCCCCATAAAAGTTAGACAAGAAACAATCTTTTGAAGATTTTTCAAACAGACTCCTTGATTCAATAGCTCATATCTTTGTTTAATACTCTGCTCATAGCCCATAATAGTCATACTGATTGCAACATGTGAGTATTAGTTGTATAGTATAAAACATAAACATTAGCTACTCTGATCTCTATCTCTCTCTCTTTTAACATATGCTCAATGAATGATAACCAACATCCTGCTGGAGAAGCCCATGGAGCAGTTTATAACTGAGTGACAAAAGTAATTTTAGATTGCAAGGGCTTTGCTGTTAATGGTTAAGAAACTTTATCAATCAATCAGGTGCTTAACTTTCTCAATCAAACTTTTCCAGATTTAAATTCTCCTTGATTCTTTATAATAGTTGAAGTTTTCATCATTGGTCATTGCAACTACTCCAGTCTTTTCTTTAGTAACAATAGTCATTAAAGAAGGCTTGGACTGGAGGATGTCAGGCAATAATAATGGTAAGAATGATGACAATATGGATCATCATCAGATTAGTTTACAAGGAGAAATCGTACGAAATTAACTTTGAAAAGCAAATCTCAATATTCTTCTTACTTCGATAAACAGCCAACCGGCTTAATAAAAATCATAATCCGATTGGTTTTCATTCACGTGACCTATGCACACCCGTTGGCAGGGAAACCGAATTTTCGTTCGCACTTAGTAAATGAATGCTTAAAATACCACGATCTATGCGGGAAACTTCATCAAGGGATTAGTCTTTTGGTTAGTTTCTGGAAATCTAAGAAAATTAGATAGTTTACTGGTTAGTTTTACCTGTTGTCTCAGTTCAGGTATTTCTGGTCCATCATCCATACATTCTTGGATCATATCATGTAGTTCATCTCGATCAGCATTTTTAATATGTGAACTAAGAAACAGAGTCATTGAGATTGAGTCATTCACGCCAATTTATTCAAAATAAAAGAGTGAAAATAAGTGTGTTATACTGGGGAGGGAGGGTAAAAACGTTTCTACCTTTTCGGTTTTCTGTCCTTGTACCTTGATGTCTTTCCCGTTTCTGAGCTCAAGCTGGAGTTCAATTTGGTGGTGGGTTCCTGCTTAGGTTTTTTTCCACTGTCGAAAAACTTCGTCTCACATTCGTCTAATAAATCATCGATATCGTCTGCCATAGTAAAATATTCAAAACAAAAACTCCCAATTCCTCCAACTCAACTACAAGATAATTTTTCCCCCTTATAAATGGAGCCTGGGTGATAAGAGCGAGGAGTACTGGGGAGAATCCTCAAAAGCTCGCCCGTACGAGACCGATAATTCCCGATGGTTTACGATTATTCACGGACACTTCCGAATCCACCGTTGGAGCGATTGAAACAAGGCATCTTCTTGCTAAGATTTCCTCTAGCTGTTAGCTAACAGAGCCTTCGAACATGACTGCTGCTATTGTTCCGTAAGTACTTCTTGCTTATATTTTACTTATTGTACTATTTATTTATCGTAATCTCATAAAGGCAATGAGATAACTGCTCCTGAGCCTTTTGTGACCTAGCTTGTTCACGATCTCGCAGATCCTTCGCAAATAACAGTATATGTACGTTGATTGTGCTTCAGTTTTCTGTAATCGTATTCAGAGCTTACACAAGAGACATTTTCGGCACGATTTGTGCACAGTCCAATTGTTCATTACGTATACAAGTATTTGATAAAGAAAACAATGGCGAAAGTTATCATAATCTTTTATTAGGAAACTTTCATCACATCACTAAGGTTTTCAGAAAAGGTCTTAACTTAGATTAAAAGTACTAAATTAGACTATATACAATAAAATGAAAATACCTAGAAATAAAAATGTATACAAAAATCATATCAAGAATAGTAATATCAGGTAATCTAGGGTTGAATTGCGGTGATATCGCCAACGAGTGATTTCGCCAACGTCACGTTCGCCAACGTCTTTGTTCGCTTCGCCAACGCGATGAGTCGCTTCGCCAACGTCCTACTGGTCACTTCGCCAACGCCAAATATCTAGTAATAACTTAGTAATAGCTTAGTAAAAAGGGTGCTTACTGATGCTTCGGATGTAATGCTGATACTTGGGTCAGAGCACTAACATCGCGGTAATTTAAAACTGTTGAATAACAAACTCCGATGGCTTCCAAATGTGTTCCAAAAATGTATAACTCAAAATTTTACTTGAAAAATGCGTTACGATGTGAATTAACGAGTTAATTGATTGTTTTCAGAAACAATCAGAGTTTGTTTTCCAGCCTTCAAAACGAGTCAGAAATAAAATATAACAAGTATAATATCAACAACATTTTAATTACAATACGTACTTTTAGAAATATTTACAAGTGCAAAATATTTTAGTGGAAAACCTATTTACAATACCTTCTGATTCACAAAATATTTTCAATGCAAAACTTATTTACAAAACCTTCTGTTTCAAAAAAATGTTTTAGTCAAACCTTTTTACAAAACCTTCTGATTCACAAAATATTTTCAATGCAAAACTTATTTACAAAACCTTCTGATTCAAAAAAATGCTTTAGTCAAAACCTATTTACAAAACCTTCTGATTCTCAGCTTACTTCACGCTAGTTTAGTTCGTTCATGATCAGTTAGAGCGCGCTGGTCCATTCAAATGCGAGCACGTCCTGAGTAGTTGAGCAGCGGTTTTCTCGTTGTTCTCATACTTCTCCCAACTTGCGAATAGTTTTGCCTGAATGTTTCTTGTTGTACGTCATTGAATTCGTTTCAGTTTGTTGTCAGAGACCAGCCTAATTATAATAGCTGTGAGTTTTGCCTCCCGATCAAGTAACTCAATTAAAAGGTATAAGGGCAAACTGCATTGTCCTCCAGGTCTGCGATTGAGGGCGTTATGCCAGCCTTCCAGGTAGTTATTTGTGCGGACGGGCTCCTTGTACACGCACCAGTTTCTTGGGGTGAATACTTCACTCTCAATCCACTGTCGTCAGATGTACTGGACAAGTCTCCCCAGCTGGTCGGTTTGTGCCTGCTACTCGAGTAGGTCGAACATCGGTTGGATTTCCGGATACGGGAGGAACGGGAGGGCCATTAGCTTCCTGATGTACTTGTAAACGGAATCGTCGTCCATGTACGCCCTTTGGAGGCAAAGCTTTTGTACCTTAAAGTAAAAAATGGTAAAAAAGGTGTAAATAAAGTACAGTAAAAACCCGCGACCCGCATTTTAGACAATAATGGATTTTAAGTAAGTTCATTTTAAGTAAGTTCACTGTCAGATGATATAAGAAACTAAATAACATTGGTCACAGTTCAGTTTTGGTCAGTGTAATGAGTTTTTTTTTACTTTTAGGAGATGTCTTCTGTTAGGTGTAATATAAGCAACAACAGTTGTATAAAAGAGAAATTAGATCCTCCATCAACTTATAATCCTGGCCCAGGTCTCTACTTTTTAGAGTATCAGAGTATATATAAGTAAATATAACTTACCGGTGTTACACATTCGATGGTTCCAGCGAAAACATCCTTCGCACTGAACCGCTTGCTGCCGAGGCTGTACCAGTTCGTGACAAACTACAGTTTAAAATCTGCGCAGTAGCCATCCTGATATTAATAGTATTCCGAGATAAAGGTTTCCGAGATAATTCATTATGAGTCGTAGAGTGTCGTAATCGTATGATTGAAATGAACATTCTTCGCATGCCAGTGTGTTTTATACACTTCGAGGGATTGAAATATCATACCAGTTAGTTTCAAGCAATTGGATTGGTTTATTTAGAACAATAGGGTAAAATTAACAAGTTTTAACACAATGAGTTTACGTGTCTATTCATATGGTAATATACAAGCGTTTGTTTCTTGTAATACTTATATACTCTTGATCGAAGTTATAATATGTGCTGGAGTTATAGAATTAGTAGTAGTAGTAGTCTACAATGTATTTATATAAATCTATGTTCTAGAAGTCTCAAAGGTAATTATATAAATCTCTGTTATCAACAAATAAACCTTATAGAAGAACTTAAGGAAAAGAATCTGAATCTTTCAATAATGGCTCCATTTTCCAGTACACCTTCTCAAAGCTTGTATGGATTTCTATAAGTGAGACCTTTTGAGGTAAAGAAAACTTTATTCTCCAACAGACCATGAGTTTCTTAAAGAAAGAAAGGCAGCATGAAGACTAGTCATTGATGTGCTCCTTGACTTCAAAGTTCTTTGAAATTAGGTGTGAAAGTTTGTTAAGGCAGCTTTTCATTATTTTGTTGAAAAACTGTTATGATGGATGTTCAGCATTCACAGAATGGTGACAAAGCACAGAAAGGAGCATTCTTCCTTTAGGTCTTTGTCAGAGTGGCGAAATTCTTCTCTGAGATGCTAGAACAGGGAGAGTTTGGCCCTCAATTCTTTTCTTTTCTCTTCCTTTCGGTAATTTGCAGAGAACTTCCTTTATACATGCTTGTAATTTTTCACTTGCAAAGTCTAAATATTGCAATTGAACCACCACACTATAAAATAGAATAGTACAGTTGTTTTAATATCAATTTTCCTTTTAACATTATATTTTAATTTCAATTTTTCTGAAAAACTAAAATGATCTTTTATTGATTTCTTCCTTATGTTAGAGATCATCCAGTAATGATAACAATATGATAATTGTACCAGGAATGAGTAGTTTGGCTAAAAAAGGATTGCCAAATTTTCAGTCATCTGCTTTTAGAGGGGTGAGAAGATTAATTTAATTAAAACAAGAATGTCTCAATTTTATATTTTGATTTCCAGGCAACTTACTTTTCATCGGCTAATATGAAATTTAAAACATAATCATAAGCATTCCTTTGTTTCTTAGGTCCTGCTTTCAGCTTGCAGCACACACTCTCTCTATTCCAGTTAGTCTACATGCAACCAATAGGAAGCGGTTATGTGAGCGTCTAAAAAAAATTGAAGGTGTACCATCAGGAGCAATGGTTTTGCTACAGGGAGGAGAACAAAGTCAACGATACTGCACTGATACCGATGTCGTTTTTCGGCAGGTAAACTACACTTGCAAGGACCTTACTTAAAACCAAGCCTACTTCAGGGGAGAATTACTCTGAATTTGATTATTCGCTCAGTTGTTTTCTACTTATTTATAAAAATTTTCAACAGGGCTGTCCAACATGGCCACTTGCATTTCAGAAACTGGCAAGAACTTCATAACAAGGCTGACTGAACACACATCTAGGAACACAAAAAAGAGGATATCAACAATCACATTGCTGAGGATCACTTCTTTCGGAACCAAACTATTAACTGGTCCTAACAACACAAATTACTTTCAAACTTAACAAAATGCACTCATTTTTTAGACAAAAAAAATGTGAGGAGTTGTCTGTTATTGAATAACAAACAACTCTACACATCAATCACTGTCATGGTTAACAGAGCTTTTTATGAGTATATGTGCATGAACAATTGCTTGGGCAATCACATTTCTCAGTGAGGGCTATTTTGTTTTTCTAAAAATTTGTGGAATTTATTATTTGATATTTGACTCTCAATATTACAGATCATGTTAATTCCTATTTTCAGGAATCATATTTTCATTGGACCTTTGGTGTTCTAGAAGCTGATTGTTTTGGTGCTGTAGAGGTGGATACAGCATGTGCAATCTTGTTTGTTCCACGTCTGCCTCCAGAATATGCTATATGGATGGGAAAGTGAGCATCTTAGAATGACTGTTTGTAGTGTTGGCTGCTTTACCCATTTACTTCTGTACAGCTCTGTGCAGAAGTGCCCAGTTGTCCTGATTGACTCTAACTGAATGGTTGTATTGTGCATAGATAGTTTTCTGTGACTGATGATCATTATTAAATAAATATTAAAAGTGGCTTATAATGGCCTATTGACTGTCCTTTGAAATTGGCAGTAGTCCATGAAAGAAATGTTTTGTGCTTTTTGTTTTTCAGGATCCACAGCCAGGAGCATTTTCAGAAAAAGTACGAAGTGGGTGAGGTCTTTTTTACAGATGAGGTAATTTATGCATTTTAAATATTAGCTTGAGATGATGATGATAATTATGATTATTATTAGCATTATCATTATTGTTTTATGATGTTTTTGTTGTTGTTGTTGTTGTTATTATAATCATGACTTCTGATGCTGTTCTTCTTCTATTCTTGTATAAGATAAATATGGAGTAGAATAAATTCACAACAATACAGTCTGACTTATGATTTACTGATTCTTACTTAGATAGCTGAAGTACTACAGAAGAA